AAGTTAATCAGGGTGACCTTACACTGTTCTATCAATAAATCACAATATAACAAGTCATAACAAGCAGCAGAAGTTAATCAGGGTGACCTTTACACTGTTCTATCCTTAATTTACAGTAGGGACACCTTTGGCAGGACAGTACGTAGGTAACCCTTAAAATGTTGTGTGTTGTACTTAAATGTATACCTCGTGATAGTTTTGTGTGTCCACACTAGTGTTGTGTGGAAGGTTATTAAGAGAGACATGCATGATTTTCAGCATTTTATTATAGTTCTTTAAAACCAGATGCATCTCAAATATTATAAAAAAATGCTAAATTATTTCAGAAAATAAATTTTGTCCTTTGATTCTAAAAATTTATTGTTGTGTTTTTTCCAGATAACCAAAACAATGCAGAATAGAAGCATAGTCTCATCGTGTGTCTTGATACTTACCCTTAATCTTATTGAGAGAGTTGCAGGGTTTTATGTTCCAGGTGTTGCCCCTGTTGAGTTTTCTAAAGGTCAGGTTATTGAAGTAAAAGCTGTAAAGATGACCAGCACTCATACTCAACTTCCCTACGAATACTATTCTCTACCATTTTGTCGACCGAAGAACAACACCATTGTCTACAAATCAGAAAACCTTGGTAAGTTTTTATTAATTTGGTATTTTTTATAAATAGTTGGTCAGAATTTTAATATACTCATCATATTAGTGATACAATCCAGTTGGATCATCAACAATATATATATATGTTACATATAAGTCAGACAACCTATACAAAAGTTAATCATATCATTGTTTTGATTATCGTAAAAAGCAAGAATGTTTACTCTAATTACTTGAATAAATGAAGAAGCAAAAATAATGTTGCTTGAGGTGACACTGGTGAAAAAATTGTAAATACCTCTTGTGTATTTTTATTCGTAATTTATCTCTTAATGTTTCAATGAAATGAGGATAGAAATATAATAAAAAAATGATTTTGATAATGTGTTGAGTCTTGTTATTTCTATAGTTAGTCTTTTTTTTTTATATAAATCAGGTGAAGTTCTAAGAGGAGACAGAATAGTCAGTACTGCTTATGAAGTCAAAATGGCTACAGCACAATCATGTAAAGTTCTGTGCCATGACCCGTACAAACCCATGTTGTGGTCAGAAGAGGAGTCCAAGCTGGTTGCTAGTCGGATCCAACATCATTATTATGTTCATCTGTACGTATTATTGAACACTGTCTACGTTCTAATAAAGCAACAGTTTTATACACATCTATGTATCATGCTCATCTATGTATATTATTAAACTTAATCTACATTCTAATAAACAATCTTGTTTTATACACATCTATGTATCATGCTCATCTATATATATTATTAAACTTAATCTACATTCTAATAAACAATCTTGTTTTATACACATCTATGTATCATGCTCATCTATGTATATTATTAAACTTAATCTACATTCTAATAAACAATCTTGTTTTATACACATCTATGTATCATGCTCATCTATGTATATTATTCAACTTAATCTACATTCTAATAAACAATCTTGTTTTAT